CACCATTATCTCTGCCGTGCACAGCACTAATGCTATTGACAATCTCACCACCGTCAATCATTGGTTCAACTTCGGAGCTCAAACTGGAAGAGGGTTCACGCGAAGGGGTTCCTTTAAGAAAAGGATTGAAATCAACGTCTTCTTCTTCTTCCTCGTCACAATCTGAAACTAGGGTTTCTTCTACTCGATGCACCGGTTCCATAACTGGAAACATGAAAAATTAAGATTCGATTCCAAGACTAAAACTTAAACATCCCAAATTAATAATCTAAAACAGAATCGGAAGCTTTGAGATTAAAAGAAGAAGAAGATCGAAGAGACAAATGTCTATCTTTGCAAGGAATGAGAGACATTCATTCAGTTTTCAATCTGAGCGGAAACCGGCAACCGTGGAAGATGACGGGTTGAGTTATTAACCTCTTTCGGTCTTTCCTAAACTTTTTTTTTTTTTAATTTTTCAACTTCTTACGGTGATATCCCACAGTAAATTTTACTAAAGATGAGTTTGGTGAAGTTTTTTTAAAAGAAAATACAGTAGTTTGAGTCTCAACTGTAAGTAATATAGAGCAAAAATTCGATTGGACTGGTATGTCGTATCGATGGCAAACGAAAACGGAAACAGCAACATGGATTTTGGGGGGGGTACATAAGCTTAACTCAGCTTTTGAGAAACTTAAGATGAAGATTGGAGAAGTTTCTTGTAGTCATTGAAGGTTCCATGGAATGGTGCAATCCTTCCGTCCGACACAACCCACAGCTCATCTACACTTCCCGATATCAGATGCTCGTCATGACTCACCTGCACCAATCCCAACCAAACCCATATTGGTACATATTTAGTCTTGAAAAATAAAAGAACAAGGAATTGAGCGAGTTTTTTGTTGTATACCATGCAAATACCGCCTTGGAATAACACAAGTCCTTGAATCAAAGCTTCCACAGCATCCAGATCCTGACATTGTTATTGTTCCTACTTTTAGCAAACTGAAATCCTTCCTTCCGTATTAACAAGTAAGTATATATCATTGGCTTACAAGATGATTGGACGGCTCATCAAGCAATAGCAAGTGCGGTTTCTTGAATGTTATCTTCGCAAATGCCACTCTGCTTTTCTGACCACCTAATTCCCCCATTCAGACCAAATAACACATCAGTCAAAGTAACAAATTCACTATCGCCAAAAATGTAACCAAGCATAGATGAAGTAGATCCAACTTTCAGTCGAGGTTTTGCATTGTGGTTACAGAAAGACAAAGAAGGCATACCTGACAAAGTGTACATGGGCTGAAGTGCAAGATTTCCAGTGACCCCGAGAGAACCCAGGTGACTTCTGAGCTTTTGTTCCGGTACTCCCTGCCACATTAAAGCACACACCAGTTAACACATATTGAGAAGCGGAGCTAAAACTGTAATTGTGATCGTAAGAAGTAGACAGATAGAAAAATAAATACTAATCGATGAATCATTTTAAGATGATTATGATCTCTCCTGTTAACTGAAACAGACAAAGACGAGTCATATAACCGGCATGGGAACTTACTGGGTAGCAGCGCATCATATATAGAAGAGGATTCGAAGAAAGGTCTAGTCCATCCACATGGTGCTGACTAAAGACAGCAACTCTAACCTGTAAAAAGGACATCAATAGATCATATTAGAGCCATGAAGTATAGCATTGACAGAGCAGGAAAACGAGCAAAAAAAATATCTGGCTAACGAAAAAACAAGATTCAATTTGTTGTTTTCAAAGAAAAATTCAAAGATAAGGCTTTTAAGAATCTAACTCCTCAGATCCAGAAGGGGTCTCCATAATTTGAGTATAATAAAAGGTCATCCAATATGATCCATAGGGACTGTGTCCTATTTGCTTATTCAGATAAGGAAAAGCAAAGTCTTTTGACATACCTTAGCAGAGCGGAAAACTGTTCCAGAGCTTGGTTGCAGATCCCCCGAGATAAGTTTGAGTATAGTTGATTTACCAATACCATTGGGTCCCACCACTGCAAATCGACGAGAAAACAATATAATCTGGGAAGAGCCTCAAAAATTAAGCTATACATGTTCTTTGATGCTGTACATATTGATATCCACAAAGGACTGATCAAAGTCTAATAACCCTAAGGTTTATAAACATGTATCATCTGTGAGATCTCATGATCAAGGGAGGGAAAGCCTTCTTACTTGCGATACGACTATCAAGATCAATTCCGAAATTCAGGTTCCTAAACAACAACGGACCACCAGGGTAGCCAAATGATGCATCACTGCAGAAAAGAATAAGCGAGTAAGAAAATCTATCATGTTTATTTTTCGATATTATCCATACCAAAATTAGAGAAGTTTGTGTCACATTCACACAGGTGGTTTCTAGAAGATGACAAACCTGAAACTGATAATGGGGGGTCCAGGCTTATCGTCAGGAGTTGGGAATTCAAATTTATAGCTGCACAAGACACACGGAGGTTATTGTAAAAAAGTTTGGGGCTGAGAGTAAGCATTGGATGCTGTTGTACCAATTTTATCCAACATCAGAGTATAGCATCATTCCTAATATTGACTGAAATGGACTTTAGCGTATACATAAGGGGGTCGCTTACTCAGGATCATTTATAACTTGATCCACATGGGCGAGCCGGTCCAATGCCTGGGTCATTGACACAATAATATTAGAGCACCACTGATGGCCAAAATATAATCACATATATAGTTGTAACTGTTGCCACCTTGATTCTTGACTGAACAAGAGATGCCCTCTTTGCATTGTAACGAAATTTATCAATGAACGCCTGCAGCAAAAAGACAATATATCAAACTGAAATCCCCATGCTGGTACTGCTAAACAAACTAGAGACGAGTTAAAAACAGAATTCATGAGTTAATTTTGCAGAAACAGAAAAGAGACCTGCATATGTGCCCGTGATCGTTCACTTGATTCAAAAGCTTTTGTCTGATTCTTCACTTGTTCTTCCCGTGTTCTTTCAAAAACATCATAATTTCCCTTATAGGTACTTAGTTTTTGGTTTTGCAAATGGATGATGTCCGTGACCACCTGCAGCCAAAACAAGCTTTACATGTGTCCACAGATATTAGGGAAATGATAACTGCATGAAGATCAAGAGAGAGAAAAAAGTACCGTGTTCAAGAATTCCCTAGCATGTGAAACAACTATAAATGTTTTTGGCCACTTTGTTAGATATGTTTCCAACCATAAGACAGCGTGGAGATCAAGATGGTTCTACCAAAACAGAGGAAAAGAATGTCAGAAGTATGAAAATATAAAGGAAATAGATTCTTCTAATAAGATAAGGTTATAGAGAAAACACACTGTAGGTTCATCAAGCAACAACAAATCAGGCTCTATAAATAGCGCACGAGCAAGTGCAATTCGCATCCTCCATCCTCCTGAAAAAGTATTTGTAGATTTTTTCTGCATTTCTGGAGTGAAACTGAGCCCCTGAAAATATTATAGAGAACAACGTTTTTAAGTTAGCAGTAGTCCGAAGTTGAAAGCAACAAAAAAAGCACATGCAAAGATTTTAACAGGAGATAGCACACAAATCTAGCTTTTTATATGCCTTTTGTGTCCAGATATGGATACCCTCTTGTTTATATCTGTGCTATCATGAGAAACAAATACCCTAAGAGGCAGAAAAATTCAAATGGTAAAGAGAAACTTACGGCAAGAATACTAGCTGCCCGAGCCTCAGCAGTATAAGCATCAATTGCATCAAGTCTTTTGTATATTTCTTCAAGCCTTTGAGACATAAGATCTCCTTCAACTGTATCTTTGGTAGTAGGCACTCCATCCTTAGCTGTGGGTTCTTCCACCTCCAGTTCTCTCTTCAGATAACCAAACAATAATCAACATTACCACCAAAGGCAGATGATATGAAAAAACACAAAAAAAAAAACCTGAAGCAGGAAGCAGTGACTCCCTTATTAGTAAAACTAGCTTGTAGCTAACCTGTTTAGCCAGTATTTGAGTTTCTTCTTCCAACAGCTGGGCTCTTTCAATATCAGTGTTAAGAACACATTGCAAGGCTGTCGTGTTGTCACCAACCACTTCTTGTTCGACATGCAAAATCTGGCAATTAGCAGGAATACCCTCTATGGCATGCATAGCCATATACCTCAAGAACGTTGTTTTTCCGGTACCATTACGTCCTACAAGACCTGTAAAGTAGTCCAAAGAAAAACAAGTACTCCATTCGTAAGCTAGATTTCTCTTTTCTTCAACTCTTTTTCCCATTCCTTGGATTAAACAGTCAGCT